TGAGATTGAACTTGATGTTTTTCCATCAAATCGTCTGTCCTAGTCGGAAGGTTAGAGTAGTAGAAGAGCTGCTGCTAGACTGTTCCAAGGTTATTTCAGCATCGACTACAGTTTCCCAGCTGAGACACCTGAAGATTTCGTAGATTTTGGAGCTCATTGGTTGGGCGTAAATCCGGTAAAAAAGACAACTCGGTTGGCACATGAAACAACCGTCGCAGGTGACGCATCCACAACTTGAAGCACAAAATGTGTAACCAGGACTCTCATTCGCTAATCTTGAAATTTCTTAAATTTTGGTAGTAGGCGCAGTGTCTTCGCAGGCATGCTCGGTGCAACTACCAGCGAGATAACAGCGATGGATGGATTCGGAGAGTATTTGATGATCTCTGGTGTAGAACTGTACATCTTTGTGGCATTGAAAGTTGATGTCTTTCACTTTGATGGATAAAAGTCCGACTGGCTTGTTGTAGTGGGTCTTGAGTGTTAGGCAGGATTCCTGATGTAGTGGTTGTAAAGCAATCACTGTAGCTTCGTTGAAGACGCAAGTTTGTTTTCCTTCACTTTCAATGCAGGTGTTTTCTCTTGCACTGATAGATGTAATCTGAGAGCATCCCAAACTTTGAGAGATTTGCAAGCAAGTTAAGGCTAGGATGGGAAAATACTGCGTTTATGTGCCAATCATGATTGGCACTACTGTCACCAAGGAATCGGTCGCACTATATCAGCAAGTGACCGGCGGTGGAGCAAAGGCCTCCGAAGACGACGAGTAGTCGAAACGCGTTAGGCCACTGATGTAATAAATTGCTTCGCCCAACTTCGTGCTGGCTACATTATACTGGCACAGTTTGAATTATGCCGAGGTTTCAACAAGAGAGGACGGAAAACTTACTGCGTTTATGTCTTCTTCTTCTGCTCGTGTAGGTCTGTAGTCTTCGGCGTCTGCAAATGATGCGGAAGACTTTGTCGAGGAAACTCGATAAAGGATGATCTTCATCAAGCTTAGTAGACAGCATAGGATTTTGATGGTCACGTAAATCCATAGCGGGAGAATCAAAGCGCATAGTATAGTCACTGTTGTTTGTATCAAGGTCCAACATTGTGTGTTGTACAGTCGTTCCCAGCAAACTGTACATCTCATCGTTTCACAGATGGGTTGAGCGGGACAGAAAAGTTGTAGCTCTGCATCGAGTTTCTCTCCAGACCAGATTTTGATGGTAACCTTGTAGTCGTACGTGGTGAGAGAGTTAGGAAAGGGGATGTGTTATGAATCTTTGTCTCGCTTGAAGACGTCGATACATGATTCTACTGCTCCTTTGCTGCTGCTTTTACTGAGAGTTAGTCCTCCCTTTGCGCAAGAAGCAGAGGAGGCTGTCGCGTCGCTATGTTGAGCCTTTTTAACGGATAGCATCGCAGAAGTCTCCGATGATGTGGACGAGGATGTATACGTAGAAGGAAATCCATAGTATATCTTCGTGGTGGGGCCCCAGGCTTTGAACGGTATTGCATCACATTCTGAATCTGCGTTGATGAGTAGTAGGGCGATTGGGTTGTCGTAGAGACAGAAGAGCCTTGCATGTTTTTTGCATTTGTGTTTCTTGCAGAACTGGGAGGTGCCAGTGGTGCTGTTGCTAGCAGCTTGTTTCGTTCCTTTGCGGTCAATGCACAAGAAGTCTTCTCGGGTCAGGTAGTCCCTTAAAGTGACTGTCAGGTTTTCAACCAGGAGTAGAGTGTTATCAAATACTTGCACTTGATTGAATATTCCCACTCTTTTGATGGGACTACAACTTTCGTTGCGTTGAAATGAGCAGACAAAATCTGGTCGGTATTCGAGAAGGTGGTGTGGCAGCGCTTGTTTTCTCGATTTGGTCGTGATAGGACCTGTATGAAATGAACATGACGAAGTCCAGCCAGGGCAACTGCATTTTTTACCGCATAGTGTTGTGTCGGAATTCGATGCGCTAGAGTATGGCTTCCCGAAACGTATGTGTCCGATAGGACAGGAAACTGGATAGTAGCAAAATTTTCTGTTATGCCTTGCAACGGCAATGCCATTCGACCTGCAGTTAGTGGCATATAGGATGGTCTTGGGTGTGTTGAGTTCATCTGGGCATCTGACAGCGGACGAGGATGCAGTTCCGAAAACAGCCAAAAGGCAGAAGAGCATAGCCGTGTAGACGTGAGCTTGTGCTCGTGATCGAGTAATCATCGGTGACGTGATGGCGGGGGTGCATTTCTTGAGGAAGTCGTCTTGGTCCTGCTATGTGTTGCTCCACCGGTATCTCCAATTTGTGAATCAACGAGTTGGGGCGAGTGATGATGCGTTGCGAAGGGAGTTGTATTTGGGATGATCGCTGATACTCGTTCTGTGAACCGATCACTCTTCCCATTTTCCATTGTCCGCGATCCAAAGTAGAATCTTGTATCAACACAATTTCTCCGTACTTTGGAGTCCCTGTTGAATAGGATCTGGGAGTCGTAGGTTCCGTTTTGTACTGTTCTCGCATAGTTGTAAGATATTCTGTGCTCCATCGAGTCCAAAACGTGGAAACTAAGTCAGATGTTCGATTCCACTCGGCGAGCAGAGTGTCCCTGGTAGTTTGGAAAGGTGACCATTGGTCTTGTGATTCGGTTGGATAAAGACCACAGAGTCGAACATGCGGACGTAGAAAGTCGATGGGGCGCAGAAGCTGGAAGGAAATTTCGTCACTGTAGTATGTGAGCGGTCTCGTATTAACTATAGCTTCGGCTTCCTTTGCCAAAGTTCGGATTTCTTCAATGTCGAGTCGGCGATTGGCAATAGCGTGCCGGTATGATTTTTTGAAGATGTCCACCATTTTTTCGTAAACTCCACCCTGCCATGGACTGAGGCTGGGTATGAATTTCATCTGGATTCGGTGGTTGGCACAGTAATCTATGATGTCTTCGTCAATGTCGGGTACTGGCAGTGAAGAATAGCATTGGTTGATTGTCTTGAAAGTTTGTGCTTTGTCACATAGGATCCATCTTGGACACCCGATAGTGGCGATGAAACGTCTTAACATGTGCAGTACCGTGGCAGTTGTCATGTCTAGTATCACGTCTACGTAAACTGCTCGACAGTTTAGACAAGTGAGAAGCAACATCCAGCATTTTTCGTCAGTGTTGGCGTTGGTACGGTAGGTCAAAGGACCAAAAAATCCATTCCGACGTTTTCGAAAGGATATTGCGAAGGAGTTACTTTTCGTTCCGGATGTGCGGGAAAAGGATGAAGAGTAAATGGTTCGAAACCTCTTGCAGTGAAAGCATTCGTTGTGGATAACCCTTTTCACAGTGGCACATCCTTTGGGTATCCAAACTCTCTGTCTCAAAAGCGTGAGGGTGTGATTTACACCGGTATGATTGTTCATTTGATGGACATGTAGTATGTAGAGAGTAGTTATTCGACTTTCACGAGGAAGGAAGATTGGTGTGATGGCTGATGTTGGTAAGTTGGCATGCTCGATACGTCCATGAGATTTCCACAGCAAGGTTTTTTCACAAGTGAAAAGTCGATATTGCTCTTTGGATTCGTTAGAAGGAGGATAAGATGACTGTGCCAGACGGAACAGTATAGTCTCGCTCCGTTGAAGCAGTACGACTTTGGTGCTACCAAAAAGATCCGCTGCTTGTTTGGATTCCTTTATGAGAAATTTCAGCACAAACATCATCGTTTGGAGTAGCTTGGTCCAAGTACTGAATCTTTTCAAGTCCAAGAGTGGATTGATTTCGATTTTGAGAGGCGCTTTGAGCCTAGGATTTTGAGAAAAATTCGCAACTGTTAGATGTTTTTCCAGTGCGTTTAGTTCTTGATTATTCTCAAGAGAATTTTCTTGGAGAATGTTGCGTGCATGTTCCGGCCATTTGTCTTGTTCTTCTCGAAGAAAGGGAGGTCCAAACCACGACAGGTCTTCTTTTATCAACTCTTCGATCGTACATCCTCGAGTTCCTAAGTCAGCTGGGTTCACTTCAGTGGGTACGTGCAGAATCTTCACGTCGGAAGTATTGTCAAGAATTATTTTTACTCGATTTCTAACAAAAATCGGTAGATTTTTGTTGTTCTTCGTCCAGTACAAGGCTACAATACTATCCGTCCATAGGAACTTTTTTGAGATGCGCAGGTCGAGTTCTTTCACGAGATAAGTCAGAAGTTTTGAGCTGATCATGAGTGCTGCTATCTCGAGTCGTGGAACTGTCATAGAGCTCTTGAGTGGTGCTAGTCTACACTTGGACATTAGCAGAGAAGTTCGGACCGTTTTGTTTTTTATCCTTTGTACAAGACAGGATGTCGCACAATATGCCGCAGATGAAGCGTCAGCAAATACATGGAGGTCATATCCATACGAAGCTTCCCTCTGGGAATCCACTACAAGGCGAGGAATTACATTTCTTGGATTGTCCAGCTCGATAAAATGTTTTCCCATTGTTTCTCTTTCTCTGTGGGTAAGACATCATCCCATGACAGCTTTTCTTTCCACAGTAATTGGAGGAAAACTTTGCCGGTTAGTAGTGCAGGAGAGAAAAGGCCAAGTGGATCGTAGAAGCTCGCTATGTGCTTCAAAACTTTTCTTTTCGTCCATAATAGGTTGCTTGATGGCTTTTCCGGTAAAGGTATGAAAAGTTCGTCACTGTTGAGATCCCACTGCAAACCGAGGAGTTTTTGGATCCTGGGAATCGCTTCTATTTCTCTTTTCCCGAAGCATTCATTGAGTTCTTCTGCATTACTGGCAAAAGCCCGAAGGTTCATGCCTGCCTTCTGAAAGAGTTCCTTGGATTTTTTATAGAAGCTGATTCCTTCATCAATGTTCGTGGCGCCGTAAAAGACGTTGTCGACGTAGGTGTTCCGAATAATGTGCCTGGATAAATCAGTTGCCGATGAAGAGAGATGAAAATGGATAGTTCCAGCGAGAAGGAATGGAGAGCATACTGGTCCAAACGGGACTCGTGTAAACCGGTAGGTAACCAAGTTTGGTGGAGTAGGAGGCCTATGTGGATCTTTCAGCCAGAGAAATCGGGTGTAATCCCTCCCGTGATTTGTGGTTCAAACCGACCATAAGAAAAGCTTTTTCGATATCACTAGAAATCAGTATTTTGCACAGTCTAGTGCGGAGAAGGATTCCGACGAGATCAGGAAGGAGAACTGGGCCTCTATGTAGAGCTTCGTTAAGACTCATCTGTCCTTTCATTTTCGCAGAACCATCGTAGACACAACGAATCTTCAGGTCCTTGTCGTCTTTTTTCAGAACACCGTGGTGGGACAGATAATGACACGGTTGGTGAATTTCTTCAAGTGGTACTTCTTCAATGATGTTCCGCTGTAGTTGATCGGCAATGACGGCGTGATACTTCCCTAGGTATGTAAGGTTTTCTTGTAAAGTTCTTAGTTGGTTGCATAAACGCGAAAAGGCTAGAGCGTGGTTTTCTAAAATTGTGCTGGGATCCGCTTTGAACGGTAATGTGACAACATATCTCTTCTCAGTGGAGTCGTAATAGATGGTGTCATTGAAATGTCTGAGGCATTCTTCGTCATCACTTTGATCGGGGTTGTCTAAAATTTCGATCGACTCTAGTTTTCAGAAACGCCTGACAAGCTCACAAAGATCATTGTGATTTGCGGGATTTGCGGCGTCATCATTATCACTGTCAATGGAAACAAGGCTGCATTCGTTCATTCTCGTGTCGATTGCTCTTTTTAAGATGATATCACCAATGCTAGTATGCAGGAGACGATATCCTTCCGGAAGACTTTTGTAGTAGAAATTGTGAGACAGTACGAGATCCCAGAAGTAATCGTTTCCGGTCAGTAACGATGGACTGCATGTCGTTACAGAAGGTTCATAGCCGGGAGTTACTTGCATCACTTCATTTGGTAACGAAGGGGTTTATTTTACCGCGAAACATCTGTTGCCGTTTTCGGTCTCAATTATTAATCGGAAATTCGAAGATTCTATCTCTATGGGTTCGCCGAAAGTTGCGACGTTGAGTGTTTCCGTCTCGATGGCGGGTAGGTTGAGTAATGCAGCAAGATCGTTGGTGATATAGGTGGTGGTTGAGCCGGAGTCGAGAAAAGCCGTTGTAGTAAGGGAATGGGAGGGATTATCAGGATTGAAGATTCTAACTTCTGTGCACATCAAAGGAGCTGGTGAATTTCTCTGAGATGATGTGAGAGTGATGTCCTGTGGGTTTCGATCGGAGGTGGGGGCTGCCTGAGTTTCCTTCCTCTCTTCATCTGCACAAGAGATTTGGATGATGTTGTCGAAATGAACAGCATGATTCTGGGATCGAGATGGAGTGGGTTGACGTGGGTGAAATGAGCGGGAGAGGCGATGATGAGCGGTAGTCTTGGAAGTAACTGTCGTCGGAGATTTACTTCTCGAGGATGAACATAGAGATGTGTGATGTCTTCTCGAACAAAGCCGGCAATGAAATTTGGAAGGGCATTCTTTGGTGCTATGACGAGGAGATAGACAGTTGTAGCACAATCTCCGCTTTTTTGCTTGTTGAAAGCGTTGTTGTGGTGTAGTATAGATGGTACAATTTACGGCAGAATGAAGCTGTGAGTCGCAAAAGGGACAACCTTGGCGAAATTTGACGGATTTTGGTGAATGAGACCGTGGTTGCTTCGTGGTAGTGTAGGTTCCTTGATGAGGATAGCGAAGTGGACCAGAGAAGGACGATTTCGAATAGAGTTCCATTTCCAAAAGAGTGGACTCTTCGCGAACTATGCTCGTGAGCAGATGAAGCAATTCTAACCGTGAAACATTGTGGTCATGTTGAGTTTGATCGTAGATTTGACTTTTCACACGAGGAGGAAGTTTGTTGAGGAGAAGAGCACCGAGAGCTTTCTCTGTTGAATCGTCATTACCGTTAGAGAACTGTCTCACAAGCGAAAACATCTGATTGTTAAGAGGGAGGGTTTACCCACCAGCGTGGTCGATGCCGCAAGTGCGCTAATGATCAACAAGTTTACGGCAGTTTTGTAAAAGCAGTCAAATTTTTCAGTTTTTGTCTAATCTTTTTCTCTGCACTACTTGCGCTTTCCCTCTTCCAGAATTTTTTTAGAACGCATTTTGGCATTGCCTCTTATATGAAGGCATTTCGGTGCCTCTAGCGTTTCAAAAACAAGGAGTGAAAAAATATCAAAAAAAAATTCAAAAACTTTCCTAAATTCTTCTTTTTATGTGCATCGTATAGAAATGAATACAGAAAACATAAAAATGATTTTTTGAAATTTTTTGAAGACGTTTACTTCGTGAAAATTCCAGTGATTGCAAAGATGGCGCACTGAGATTTGAACCGCTCAGAAAAACGTGTACAGACATGTCTGCGTTATCTCTCCATATTAACTAAACGCTGCAGACTATGCCCTACCTGATTACCACATTGTCCGGTCTATCGGTCATCACCTGAGAAAACGCCAGCTCATTTACAAAAATGGGAAGAAACGGATTTTCAGCCACAAAGTGGGTGTTTTGACGCACGGATCGCGGATGCGACGGTGCCCCTGTATAGGCCTTTTGACCCTGCCCATACGCTGTGAACATGAGATCTTTCCAAGCCTTCTGAGATTTTTAAGAGTCAAAATTAAAAGTGTAACAGAAATTATTCGACTACCTAATACATTAATCTGCAGGACTTCGAAGGCAAACACAGCTTCCATTACCTGCTTCTGAGCGTCTTTGGAGAAAAAAATGCAACTTGGCTGCGCCGGCCCTGCCAATAATATATTTTAGCACATTGACGACCGCTTGACACACATGGTGTGTCAAGCAATGACTACCGTGTGGGACCGCTTGACACACCATGTGTGTCAAGGCTTTAATTTTGATTAAATGGCTACTATCTTAGAATAAACTCACCCCATGAGCTTTCTTTTGCACTGAGTCTAGAGATAACCTCTACCTTTTTTGTCAGCCTTTCAGATTTACTGTAGGTGTATTGTAGATGGCCGCAAGCGTCATTATAGTTGGAAAATGTGGGCTGGTGCGTAAAAGACCTTAGCCCCAGGAGGCAGATGACTGAAAATCTGCATGGTCGTCAATGTGTTGATCAGCATGCTCGCTTACCCTGTGCGCGACCCAGCCTCGGAGGTGAAACTTTGCAAATCAATATAATCGATATTGATCAGTGACGAAAAGCAGATTATGACACCCGCCCCGCCCTGTGGTGTATGTGTGCAAAGGTTGGTCCGGATCGGTTCAGAAATGGAATTTTCGGTACTTTTCCGTTATCCGGACCCATTTTTTCAAAGAAGCATATTGCTTCATTCCTCGTACCATATTTGGTCCCGACTTTACAGGAAGGAGTGTCAACCTTCTGTCACGTGTCAAAAAAATTTGACATGTCTTTTACACGTTTAACAGGTTTAACCAAGAGTTTGAGTTGCCCTACTTGGCGACGTAAGTTCAATCTTTTTATTAGTCAATAGTGACCCCATTTTCGATTAAACTATCAAAAATGAGCATTGTTATAATAATAACGTCATTCTGTTACTAATTAAACAGATTAGACTTGCCAAGAGTAGAGAAGTGGACTAGGATCCCATCATCTAAATGACAAAATAAGCAACAGCAAGGAACTTTAAGCCATCATTTATAGTCTCGTCTGGCTAAATTCGCAAGACGAAAAGTTTGAAGAAAAAGACAATGCTGAATCGTTGCTGAAAGCGATCAAGATGTTCTTATATAAATTTCAGATTGTTTTGCTCTCGGACAAACCAATTAAACAGCTTTTAGGTAATCACAAATGCTCTTTTACCTCACCGGAAGTGATTTCGAAAAAAACATGTCAAAATGGACCAAAACGTGTTAATATTTTTCTGACACGTGGCAGAAAGGCAGTCGTCGTGGAATCCATAAAAAATTGTTCTTAGACTGAAGAACGTATTTTATGAGAGCTTTTTGAAAAAATGGGTCCGGATAACGGAAAAGTACCGAATTTTCTAATCGGAATTTACAAACAGACAGACAAACGACGGCGTTCGACAGAGAATAAAAGTCGATCAACAATTAAAGCCCTACAAAATGGTGTACAATCAGGGCCCGCACAGATCTTATGGAAGCAGGCTGAACCATAGGTGCGATAGTGTGAGAATTTTCTCACCCCCTCTTCACCCCTGAGCCGGGACCAAGGTGACCCCCTTCACCAAAAGCCGAGAAAATAAAATTAACAGTGAGGTAAGGTTAAGCAAAGGAGATATTTGTACGTGAATTGTTTATGTACAGGAGTGGAGGAGTCTGTTGAAAAAAGTGCTTGGTGACGGGTGTGAGTAGTGATTTCTGGACATTTTGGAGTTTTTAAAATAAAAAAATTCATAACTTTTGTAGATGGACATCTTTTACGGCGAGATGGTCACCGTTGGAACCGTATCGTCCTCCGCTGTCAGAAAGCATATAGCATATCTGAGATCCACTCAAGAAAGTGCGGTGAAAGGTGTGTCTAGTGATTTTTAGGAATTTTTGAGTTTTTAACGTAAAAAATTGATAAATTTTGTAGATGAACATCTTGTACGCCGCGATGGTCACCATTAAAACCATCTCGTCCTCCGCTTTCAGAAAATATACACATTGCCTGGGGTCCGTTAGAAAAAAGTGCCTGGGTGAAGGGTGTCCTAGTGATTTCTGGAGATTTTCGAGTTTTTAACATAAAAAAATTCATAACTTTTGTAGATGTATATCTTGTACGCCCGCCTATGGTCACCGTCAAAACCGTCTCGTCCTCGCTTCTAGAAAATATATACATTGCCTGGGGTCCGTTATAAAAAAGCGTCGGGTGAAGGGTGGGTGAGATTTTTATAATGAGAGTTCCCAAGTACAGGCTTTTTTACCATTATAAAAAGACCTCTACTTGAGCACTCCCATTATAAAAGTCTCACCCACCCTTCACCCGGCGCTTTCTCTAATGGACCCTAGGCAAAGTATGTATTTTCTGAAAGCGGAGGACGAGACGGTTCCAATGGTGACCGTCACTGCGTAAAAGATGTTCATCTACAAGAGTTATGAATTTTTGTATGTTAAAAACTCGAAGATCTTCAGAAATCATTAGGACACCCTTCACCCAGGCACTTTTTTCAATGGACTCCAGGCAAAATACATATTCTTTGAAAGCGGAGGACAAGGCGGTTCCAAAAGTAATCATCATGGCGTAAAAGATGTTCATCTTAAGAAGTTACGGATTTTTCTATCCCAAAAAAACTCGTAAATCAGAAATCACTATTCACACTCTTCACCAGGCACTTTTCAACAGACTTCAGGCAGACTATATATTCTCTGAAAGCGGAAGACAAGGTGATTTTAAAAACATTTTTCTTGCTGACGTTGCTGTTCATCTACAGAAATTACGAACTTTTTCTTTTAAAAATATTCGTAAATGGTCTCTTTTCGAAACAAATGTTCTCGCATGCACATCTTCTATGGTAATTCCAAAAACAAGCAGGGTGATGTAAAAAGGGAAAAGGAAATGTTAAAAAAAACAAGGTGCTGGTTAGAAATATAATTGTATGCTAATCCAGCAGCACATCGGTTTGCACTTCAGAAAAAAGATAAACAGTGATGGTAAGGAATAAATTATGACCTTTGGCTAGGAAAAATGATGAGAAAACACCATGGCTCTCCCCTCCCCCCCCCCCCGTCGCCATTTTATAACGTCTCTACCAATTGAAACACCCTTCACCCTGGAGGGGCTGCGACCACTGTGACCCCCTTCACCCTGGAGAAGTCATTCTCACCTTATCGCACTTGTGGGCTGGAGTCCGTTTTGGAACAAAAGCGAAGGGCATATCGTTTTTTACGGGGTCCGGAAAAAAATGTTGTACATGCGTTACTAAGTATGGGAGCAAAATTGCACACAGTGTGCAAGA